CGAGCGCAATGTGTGCACTGAGAACACGGGACTGCGCTGTGGCGTGAGCCAGGTGGGAGTTTCCAGCCGCACTGCTGCTGCAAGTGCCCAACCCAGCACTCAAACACGGAGCAATGCACACGGGCTTGCAATGTGGATATAAACTCTTAACTCACAAGCTCCTTCCTCCAGCTCAGCCCAGCCCACAGTGACTATCTGACATGTCTGTGCGCTGCCAGGCAGCACGGGATTTTGGGCACCTCTGGCATTCCCCATGTCAGAGCAGCTGAGGGAAGGGCATCTGGACTGCGCCTTCTGGGCCGACTCATCTTTCTGGGAGGCAGGCTTGCTTCGAGCTGCCATGCAGCGATGGTGAAGCCAGCTGTCTCTGTAAGAAGGTGGACCACTTGATGCAAACTTTCCCAGTTTGGAGGTTGTGGCGTCCACCTCCCACTATGAGCTCCACTGCAGCTCCACTCCATCCACAGAGAGCTTACCTCCAGCCCAGCACACACCGCCAGCTCACCGGGATTTTGGAGGGGAGTTTATCCCCAGGGTAGGTGGAAGACAACAACAAATACGAGTTGTCTAGGACATAGTTGTATATACATATTCCCTATGCATACAACCCATTCTCCTACAGCCCAGGGGCTGGGCAGGAGGCACAGTTTATAGGCAACGTGCTCCAGAGACTGCTGCTCTTAATGAAAACTCTAGATTTCACCTTTGCCCTCTGCATTTTCCTTGCACAGGGGCAGGAAAAAACAGAGCACATCTTCCAAGACACCAAAGCAGGTCCTATAGAACACCTTCTAACACTTCTTAAATGCTTTAATCCTCTTCACGCTGAATGACAGCTCTTAGAGGGCGGTGTTTTACTTCTTGCTTAGATGCACATCTGGACAGCATTAACACTTGGTCCTTGACTGTGCTCTCCAGGACAACCTTGTCCTTGCGATGCAAGTTCCAACTGTGGACCAGACTTTAGCATAACAGAAATAAGTATCTAGAGGAGTACTAAGGATACCATTTATTTTCAAAATCACTAAAAACCCCGAACAAAACAGTTTATGGCGATACAGATTTACATAACAGAGACAGCAAATTGAAAAATGTACAATCTATTTCATGTTATTGCACTCACTTTTTTATAATATACAAGGCATATTAAACAGTTTTCATTAAAAGAAGTTTTATTTATATAAATAAAAGTGTAAATATACAGTATCATACAAGAAGTGTATCAGCCTAACACACAAAACCTACCTAGAGTGGGATCCCAATTTCTCACACGATCTAGTCTACTCCTCATCAATATTTCCACATATACATTTACATACCCTAAATGTAGAAGCAGGTAAACATTCCCATCTGGGAATAGTTCCTTCAGATTTTGACAAGAACCACTGCAGAACATTAACTAGGGTTAATTTTAAGTGAGGGTCGTTAGAAAATATGAGTCACTCAACAGTTCATTAATACTTACCTGCCCTTGTATTTTTTTTTTTTTTAGCAAGAAAATGATCAGATGTTGCTCCCTCTGTAATTTAGGCCTAATCTCACAGTTTTTAATACAGATGCACTCCCCACAGAAGCTGGAAAGAGCTCCCAGGTACAAAAGGCTGCAGAATATGCAATGGCAGTATCGCACCAGAGCCCACTCTCATATTCAGGACGTGCACCCTGAGCTGCCCCAGGCCTGGCAGCGGCAAAGCCCTCCACCAGGCCTTCCCCATCTAGGAGCAAATTCACCTTATCTGGAATGCCTTCAGATCCCTGGTGAAGCGTTGTGTACCCAGTCCATAATTTCATCCTGATTTTTTGGTATTCCAAGATGCAGCTGCAAGTCTCTGGAGAGTCACCACTCTCCTAGAGCTTGGCCAACCCTCCAGCATGGCAAAGAATCACCGTGGGGACCGATATGCAAACAGCAAGGCCAAAAATGCTCGTGAACCTACGGAATACTGATGAACTAATGCAATGCCGTCTGTCATTTTGGTGCAGCCAGGTGCGTAACCAAAGATTCACTACATCTGTTTGGTCTACCCATCCTGCTTGTAATAAAGCAGACCCATGTTGCATAAATCCTGGGGCTTTTATGGGGAATGTCACCCCAATAGAGACATCGGGAAATGCTACTCTAACCGTTATCAACACTGGTAGCATCAGTAAAGATGTTTCTTGCTCTTTCACAAAAAAAAAAAAAAGTATTTTCAGGAACATAAACAATCAAGGTTAAACACTATTCTTTTTCTTGCTGTAATGTTAGTAGAGGAGTGTATCATTCTACTCATTGTAACTATCAGACTTAAAACATTAAACCTATCTTTTAAATTATAGCTACTACTGAATATCCCCATACACAAATATCCCCATCTTTTTGCTGTTACTCAGCCAACACATATCTACGTGCATGTAAAATAAAATACTGAACAGTATTCGATTACTGAAAAATGAAAGCCTTCTAAATCACTCACAATGAACAGTACCTGCAAATAAGCGTCTGAAAATATTCACCACGTATCATCTTAAGACACCTCAAATTAAGTTTAATTTACAATACGAAGATTTTACCTTTGAGCTCACACCGGTTTAGGAGTGAGGGAGACATACGCCCTCCTGCATTGGAACCTCCAAAATTTTAAACTATGGACTGAAAAAAAATGCCATTTCCTAAAACACAACTGTGATTTACCACATTAAAGTAGCAAAAAGTCAGTACTGCACTTGTACGTATTATACGTATACAGGTATGTATTCACTACGCTGCATTAAATTCCACATGCATTTTATGTATCTATTATACACGCTATTACAGTCAGATTTTGGTCATTCCTGAACAAGGCCTCACCATTTAATTGCCACTGCCAAATGCCTTCTCCCAGTTTTTCAGCAAATATGCAGGGGTAACCTGTTTTATCCCAGCACAGGCCTGCAACCTCAGTGTGGTCCTCTGACCGCAAGTGCTGCATCTTCCAGAAGCCTCTCCCCACCACGGAGGTGCCTGGAGGCAAGGACCAGTCCCGACAGAGCAGCTGAGCTTCGGGGTCACAGGGGACGCAACCCCACAGTCATTTCACAGCACTGAACCTGAATTAGTTTCAACAGAAATCCTGCAGGCAAAGCAGCTGTAGGACTACGTACAGTATTGGCTTTCCTGTAACCAAAAGCTGCATCTCTCCCTGGATTCACATGCTAATACATCACTGAAAAAGAATTCAACCTATTCATTTTTAGGCAAACATTGCACAGCTTTTCTGCTTGCCTTGTCTCAGGTTGCCTCACAGAACTGAATTTTCCTCTGCACATCACGAGCTGCAGTCTAATGAAGCTGTCACAGAAATGAACCAAACTGAGTGCTCCACTAACCTGGAAGCAATTGCTCCAAGCACGGCTGAAGAAATGTAAATGAACTGAACTATAGTATGATCTTGGGGTAGGGCCAAGCGACAAGCCCAGACCTTTTTGTAACAGCTACACAGTGTCTTGGCTCACTATAAACATAGGCAGCGCTTCAGATTTGGACCGGCTCCAGGCTAAGAGCTCTTCGCCCTGGGCATGTTGGCTGCAAGTGGTCTCCAGCCTCATGTGACAAACAACCTGAGCACTCTGGAACAACCAACTTGTTCTCAGCTGATAAGGACACTGGCCCATTTCCTCCTGTATCTCTCTTATGTTGTTTAGCTATCCCAGATGTAGGAAGAAAAATAACAGAGTCTAATCTCTTGCACCCATACACTCTCCTCCCAACACAGCAGACTATAAATAACACTCAGCAGCATGGCGGCCCGCTACCGATACCTCTACTGTGAGTAGAGGTGAGAAAATCCAAACTAAGCACCCGCGGTATTGCAACCCTTTCAGTTTTGCTGTATCTAACACCACGGTTTCTCCCATCTACACCGTTTTCAGTTTCACCATCCAGAACCCTCAGCATCAGCCTGTTCCTGACGCAGCTGGGCACACTTGTATCTTCCACACACATCCTCACCCACTCTCACACAAGCAAAAGTAAATACTGGGCAGGAGAAAACAAAAAGAGCGATTAAAAGCCACCACAAATATGGCCAGTTCAGATTTAATCTGTTATAATCCACATCCTTAGACCACCATTTTCCAGTCTGAGTGTTTCAAGTTGGGCAGCCTTAAACCTCTTGCAGCCAAATAAAAGCAGCCTGGCTTTTAGATGTACTTAGCGATCGCTGAAGTCTGTGGGATCTGCAAGCACTCAGCACCTGAAATTTTTCCCCTTCCAAAAATATATATATTTTAAAGGTGCCTAACATTAGAAGCCTAAATCTGAAAATTCAGACCCCAATTTTTATCGCTCCCATTTTAATCACAACTAACAACTCAGTCTACGCCTTGGTGGACAACCACCTATTATTTGGACATGATTTTCTTGCTCACAGATTTCTACCACATTAATGCCAAGTGCTTTCAGATACAAGTTGCATCTAAGAGCAGATTCAGTTGTGGTGGATGCTGAGTTAGTTCATCAGTTTTAAAAGGATTTTTCAGCTTTGCAATAAAATGCTCATGTTTTAGGCATAAAAGTTGTGCAAAATTATACTCTCGTCATGCATTTTTAGCAAAACTGCACTTAGAAGAATAAAGTGAGATTGTTCCAGACATTCTCTTATTAGAACAAAAAAGGACCAGACCCTAAGTAAGTGCCCTGAAGTCTTATTACAGCTAAGTGATACAGTACAGTCTAAATACCCATCCTTGTCAACAGGATGGCAACCAACAAGTTATATTCCCAACGCTCTGCAGATACTAAAAATATCAGGGACAGGCACAGTGTTATTTATTTCAGACAAAATACTTTAAACCAAACCCAGGAGAGGTCTTGAAGTTCCATTAAAACTGCCACATAATACAAAAACGTCTCTAACATTTGGCTTCCTTCATCCTCGATAATTAGGTGAGATTTTATGATGCTCATCACATGCTTGCTCAGTGGTTCTCCAAGGCTCTTAGCACCTCCCTGTAGAGCATTAAGACACTTCTGTGTGGCTTTAGAAACAAAGACAGCTTCTAGCCAGTTTTAAATGTTTCATCTTAGCAAGTGTGATTAGATGTAGTGCTTCCATCATACTGAAGTTCTGTGTTTTCTGATTAGTAACTGAACAGGGCCCTCTGGCACAGATTTAATAATGTTCCAGGCATCGTAATGCATGAGGCCAAGTAATGATTTTCCACTAACAGCAATTATTTCATCTCCAGTTTCTACGTTTCCAGATTGCTCCGCAGCACCACCTAGGAGCAAAAGGGGAAAAAAAGTCAGTGTAAAAAAAAAAGTAAACCCACAAAAATTTTCTTTCCACCACAATGAACAGCAAATAAACCATTTTTTCCAACAGTGGCAATTTTAGTACAAGTCACTTATGTTCAGCTCAGCTCTAGCAATCTACCCCAGGCCGCATCTCACCGAAAATGTTATTTTAACCAAGATAAATCCTTGTTCTCAGAAAAAAATGTCTGTTTTTGAAGGAAGCAGCATGAGTGCATGAAATATGCTGTACGTTATCTCTGTAGCTGTAAGAAAACCTGGTTGTATGTGGCATGGATGTATTTTCTCAAGCAGAATTTTAACATGGTAATAAGCAGATACTGCAGTAGATGTAAAACCCAGATAACAGGGATGGATAAATCAAACATGGGTAGCAAACTTCGGGCAAACACATGAGACACAGAAACAGCTCCTAGGGAGGGGTACACCCTTCACTGATGATGAAAGTTTGTTTTCTGTAATGATAATTTAACTAACATCAGCCATCATGGGGAGGGGAAGGGAAAAGGACTGTATCTAAGGATATAAATTAATGAGCTCAAAAATTAAACATGCTCTTGACCCTCAGAATCAATTTCTAAAGTGGGGAAAACAAACACACACACAGAAATTGATAAACAATTCAGGAAATACAAGTTTGATTTTCTTCCTTGATGAGAGAATAAACCATTGAAAAGTAATCCTGTAAAAATGCTGCACACCCGCAACTTCATTGAGAGTTTCAGCTTCCTTTAGAAAGTGCCATGTTTTTCACTAAACTGAATCCCAGACTAAGACATATTAAAATCACAGTATAGTTGTGGGATTGGTTTCCTTTCTATACACAGTTCATATAAGTTTAACTACCTGCTGACAAACAAAGCATCCAAGAGTGGCAGTTTTTGAATACAAACATCACATATTCTTGGTGAAAGCTAATACTGATATCTAACAAAAAAAAAAAACAGACCAAAAAAAAGGTAAAATTAATAATTGGGTATAATGCAGGACGGTGCTTTGGAACCACACTGATTACCTGCACTGTGCTTCTCTCAGAAAAGAGAATCAGTTAAGGCATGAACTTCTCAAACCGTTACATACGATATTGCTGCTGTAAATTAATGTCTAGAATAGCGGACAAGCCCAGGAGTGAACTGCATCATATTTAGTAAATCAGACTGCTCCACAAACATTTACTAGCAGATGCAATCCCTAGCCATTCCCAGGTGTGTATTTTTAATGACCACTTTGGCTAGTAAGTGGTAATAAACGAGGGCCACAAAAACCACCCTTGCTTCAAAAAAAAAAATTGAGTCCAAGAATTAAAACATCTGCACAATGCCCAAAAAGGAAAACTGGGATAATATCAACTGCATGCTTGTAGTACCTTTAAATATTCTTTTTACAAGCAAGGGCCTGTCTCCAGCAATGGAAGCTTTTCCACCATCAAGACTGAATCCCAAGCCAGCAGAGGTTTTCAATAATTCAACACAGATGACATCATTCATATCCAGGTTTGGATCTGTGACAGAATATACACAGCATCTTGTTATGCAGTTAACAGTAAATTGCAAGTTGTGTTTGGCTGGTTTTGTTTTTGCTGCAGTGACAAAGCAATTCAGAGTTCAGTTCATATTCAGACTAGAACATGTGGTCACCCAGTTTCTCAGAAGTGAACGTGTATTATTGCAGCTGTGAAAGTGAGACAGTACAAAATGCACTTATGCACAGAGACATTGTCATTTTGCATGTTAAACAAAAACCTGCCAAGGCATTTTTTTTTTTGGCAAAATTAACACTTACAAAACTTAGCAAAGACTCTAAACATCAACAAAATAACTGAAAAATTACAAAAAATAGTGAGTGAAGAGCATTTCTTTTTTCTTTCATTTGTTCCCACTTGCTTATCCAATGAGCCACATCTTTTTACATAACAGTAATGAATGAAACATTACATTAAACAAACATGTTTCATCCTCTTAAGGAAACGTCTGTACTCACTCACTAGTGTGAATAACTGTTTCTGGTCTCATATCTATGGAAATAACCATAATTAACTGTAGGTGCATCCTGCCTCCTACATAGCAGATATTTTTAGAATGCAATATTGCTGTAGCTGACATAAATATGATTTTGCTTAGGAGGAAATAAATCTACAATTTTGGAAAACAGGACCCTCTTTGCCCTACGTGAATGTAAAAATTATGCAGTCCGCATTATCACAAATTACTGCTACTGTTATCTCAAACAACTTTAAATGTTATCTAAAACATTTTAAGATGTGCTTTGCCTTGCAGGATGGAATTATATTCTTAATAACCCAATACTATGTTGTTTATGAGATAATGTTGCCCCCTAGTGCCTGCACCCAGCAGATATTCTGCATTTGCCAATGTGCAGGATGCAGGGAGTTTAGGGTAGAAAGGGATTCTGAAGTAATTACATATATTATATCCATGGGAGCAATTCCAGAAAGGCCGATCCATTCATTTACAGAGTGCTTCTTATTTCTTTTAAGCTGTATTACAAAGCTGTACTATAAAACCCAGTGAAAGCATAAAACAATAAAAACTGCTGCAGGAAAAAAAAAAAACCAAAACAGTAATGATTACAGCCAGCGGGTTAAAAAGGGGTGAGTGTCAGCTCCACGTCCTGGTTTTGGGGTGGTCTGAGCTGAGTGCCTGGTATTGGAAGCCGCATCACCAAATCTCTCAGCAATAAACTGTAACCACTGCCCACTCCCTCCCAGGGACACTGCAGCAGTGCAGGGCTGAAGCAGGTCATCCCCCTGCTCCTGAAGCAGCAGCAGACAGACGGGTACTAAAGGGTTTTGTGTCTTAATTCTACAAAAAAATTTGAGAACTGTTTGTAACACCCCAAGTGCAGCCTTCACACCGAAATGCTGTCTTGTTCCCAAACAGGAACTTAACCATTCCACTGATACGTTTCCACTTAAACCATTTATCCCTGTTTCCTATGGGATGGCCGACTTGGATTTGTCTTAGCTCCATTTACTGTAATATCAAAATCATTTTTTCTATGTTTTTGGTAGAAACAGTATGAAATCTGCTATTACAAAGAGCAACTTCAGTCCCTATGCATAACAAACTGCAGGGCTTGGGGTTTTCTTTGAGGTTGGGGTTTTTTTGGGTTTTTTTTTTTTTGGTTGTTTGCTTTCTTGCACTGACTACTGTTATTACTTAAAAGCAGTTTATCCTGGATTGAAAGAATATGTGGAATCACTAACTTTAGTAGAAATTGGATTAGGCCCTAAATGTCCTTCTAAGTTTCTGCCTAGTTATGATATTTATTACAAATAAAATTTGAAGGTAATTTCATTTGCTCCCTTCAATTACGTAAGGCACAGACACTTTTAATCTATAACACTTGGACATTTTTCCCTTCAGTCTGCTCTGCAATGGAATCCTTCCAACTGTTCTTGGACAAAGATCATACCTGTTCCTATTTCCATGGAAACATCCTTTCCAGACCTCACACATTTTCTGCCAGTAGCGGATATCTCAAGTCTGGAGGAATTGGTTGCTTTGTCTTTTTCCTTCTGGATGACAATGACCGCATATTTGTATAGTCTTGCCTGATGAAGAGCATTCAGGACATCCCCATGGACTGAGCTCACAAGAGACTTGCTATTGATTGACAGAACAAGATCTCCTCGATGAATAGTCCCTTCTTGAGATGCCACTCCCTTTGAAAACACTCTGTGGACCTACAAGAAAGATTTTAACTTAAGGATGCTTTAACCTCATGACCACACATAGTGCCTTACAGGCCAAGGTGAACACAGAGTCCCTACCAAAGTTTGCAATCAGTGCCCACTGCTTGGGTGTCAAGCACGCAACATTTGCTCCAACAAACACCCTCAAAGGCCTAAGTGACTGGACAAGAACTGCAGTTAGGGATGGGGGGAAAGCAGAGGAAAAGATGCTATTATTGCATGGTCATTTCTAAGCCAAAGACAGCCAAAACCAGCTAGAGAATGTCATCTCACGAATCACTTATGCTTTCACTGAACTCCTCAAAGGTCTTCAATTAACATACTTCCAAGTGATACACAGGTTAAATCCACATCTGTGCTACAGCAAACACCAAGAACAACATTGCGGTTTGCGATACCCACTCCCCAAATTCCCACTGTCTGGGACATACATCCTGTGCTGTTTTCAAATGCACACTTCTAAGCGGTGCACAGCATCTGTGCAAAGAAAGGCTATGACTTACTGCAGCTGTACAAGCATTTAATTGTCCATCTCATTTTGGCTGATCAAATACCATGCAAATAGATGCAAAGGGAGGATTTAGTGGCTTGAAATGTGTTTTTTCTAGAGAAAAAAATACTCTATTCGCAGTGGATTAAACTTTGATTAAACTCCAGCAAGTGCAGCTGAGACATAGATGTGTGCCATTTACTGAAATAAATGACAGTAAAATACTCAAGACCCGGTATTTAAAGACTTGTCTATCAGGCACTGTAATTTTAGCAGCCAGAATATGGTTTCCCATGCACACAGTTCTAGGTCCACTGGGCAAAGGTTCAAGGCAGCAAATCTGTGGACACAATTCTGCATGGCATTTTCTCTAGGAATTTATCCTAATACCCAGACCAGCAGCAAGGAATCAGAAGCCTTTTGGCCCCTGTTCCCTCTCATCGCAGGGTGATGCTGAGATGGGCACCTGCCACAACCCTACAGATTCAAGGAGATAAATTTCCAGCCAGTCTAAGCAGGCATTCAAAGCTGGAATAACAGCCTCAATGGCAGACGTAGACACCCAAATGCAAGAGGTAAGTGGAATACGGGTCATGTCCAAAACATCTGCTGCCTATCCTCACACGCTCAAGTCCTCAGTACCTTGAAGCTCATTTGGCATTTCTATTCCTGCACCCAAGTGTGGGCAGAACAGCCCATCTAAGCAGCTCAGCACCCAATGCCAACCCTAAATCCAGCTGGGACCCAGAATCCCAGTAGGTCAAGGACATTAAAAATGTTCTCCACCTGAGAAACTTGCTTTACACACACTGAACAGAGAGTGTCTGGAAACAGCAGGAGCTGATGCTCTTTCGGTCTCATGGCTAATAGCATTCAGAAGAAAGACTTCATCAGCTACTCAGCCTGAGGGGGCTCAAGATCGTAGTTTTAGGTAGTGTCCCAGTTTCTAGGTCAGGAGCTCTCTGGGGTCGGACACTGTTGAGCCTTCCCCTTGCTCACAGCTGACACTGCGAGTGTTTGGGCCAGAGACAGGGAACACAACCTTTGTAGCGAGAGAAGTAGAGTCCGTTCTCTAGACTGTGACCATGTTCTAACTCAATGCCTACTTAATGTAAAATACATTTACTTACATTGGTTTTGTGTAAGAGCAAAACCCAGAAGATTCCTGCAAGGGCTGCTGCAGGCCCCAAAGACTGAGGACATACCCTTCTTCTAATCTCAGCACTTAATGGATCTCTCTCTTTCAGGGCAGAATTTAAATGCGTATCTTGTGTAAAGAAATTGTCACATGGGACACCGGTTGTCTTGGATTTTTCTGTCTCATTAATCTGTTTTTGAACAGTATAGAAGCTGCTTGTATCACTTTTTACACACCAACATCACTTAATGGCACACGGTATCTTTGGTTCAGAATACTGTATAAGACTTTTTTTAAAAAAACAACAACCACCACCCTCATTTACTGACCATACACAGGTCTTAATAACACCAAAACAAATTTGTGACGTGAAATCCAGAATGTTTGCTGAGGTCTGAAACAGTCATTCTCAGGATTTGCAAAATCCTTCAAAAACTTTGCTGCACAGAGTTTATTTTCAAGGGCTGGGAATGAAAATCTCCCCTAAAAGGTTGCATGCACTGCAGCTGCATGCAGAATTTTATTTACATGCATAGGCTTTAGACCTAGCCGATCCCATCCAGTAACGGACTTTTAAAGACCGAAAACGTAATTGGCATCCATCTCCAATAATAAAAATTATGCTTCCCAGACACTCTGTGATTTCAGTAGCAGATGGTATGCAGCCGCCTCTGAGAGACACTGTTTTATGACCGTGAATGACTTGCAGTGAGTCTTGATAAATGAGCACTTGATCTAATCACCAGCCTGCTTTAAAGCGAGCTTTGCAAAAAAGTGACTTGCAGCCATCACTTACTGTGACTGATTTCTGTTCCAGATCTATTCCTCCAGCAACACTAAATCCCAGGCCAGCTCCTTCTTCTTTGTGCAAGACTACGAAGTATGTGTCTTCTTTGCTCTAGCAGAAAAATGGAGATGGAGGGGAAGGGGAAGGAGAAGAAAAACAAAACCAAAGATCAAGACCAAGTTCCCGCACAAATGACAAATTCCCAGTACTCTCAGACTATGGCAGGTGAAAAAATGCAACTCAAGGAATTGAAACCGAGACATTAAATGCATTTCTGTTCATGCTACAGGTGAGTAGCAGCCATATAGAAGAACTCAGGTGACAGCAAAGGTTTCTTCAGTCAGTTCAAGGCTAGAAAGCAAAGTCAAAATTAGGAGAGTGGAAGGGTATTAAACCTTGGGCAGCCTAATTTTCACAGACTGTAATCAACTTTGCATTGCTCGACATTCAGCAGTCAAAACTCAGTAGTTCCCATACACCTTTCTGGACCAAGCATTGTACTTTCCAGGGAATTACTAACACTTCTGTTATCCCACTTCTCCTTCCTCTTGAAAGGCAGTTACAAAGATGTAATGCAGGGCAGTTGTATCAACCTCTTCTCAGTAGTGCTGGACAACCTTGCAAGGGGCAGTGGCTACAAATTGAAGCTTGGGAATGTTAGATGGGACAGCAGGAAAAGCTGTTTCACTTGGGAGATGAAAATAAGGAGCCTTTTAGTGATCTAAATGGGACTAAGGTGTGCTGCTGTGGAAATGGGAGCATCTAGCACTGGAAAGGGACTGGTGCAGGTCTGCACCAGGGCTGAACTTGGCTCCAGACCAGAACAAAGGTGTAAAGCTGATTTCTTCGAAGTGATGGCCTGCTGCCAAAATACAGAATTTGCCATGAGAGAGAAGCAGTCCCATCCAGCAAGTCTAGTACTGTCTTCTGAATGGTTATTAGGACAAAACCAGACACTGTTAGAGAGACCACATTTTGTGGTGTAAAGGGGGACTATAAGCAGGCATTTGGTGGAACAACGGGATAGTAACCATCTGTGGGGCAGAGCATCAGAAGTGGGGAGTAGACAGCAGGTCTCTCAGCTTTTCCCTGGGATCCCATCCAACATCAGTCATTTCCAGAAACTGCCAACACTAAAATTAACAGCACATTATTAGAAACCAACCTCTTAATCTATTTAGCATTAAATGACATATTTAATTCACTAAACTCAACATTTTAACTCAGTGTTTGCGTTTTAATTTTGTTTCAAAAGGCACATGGAACCACAGATTATTATAGTTTTTTGGTGAAACAACAGTCAAATTCTTGGTCTCACTGTGTGGGTTTTTGCCAAATAGTGGCCCTGTAAGATCTTCTGCATTAGAGGCATCCCTGCAATGCACAAAGCCAATGTCAGAAACCAATGCCACCCTGCTCCACATCACTGATCCATCAGCGCTCAAGGAGGGAGGAGCAGTCAGGGTTGAACATCTTAGTCCACAGTCTTTTGTAGATGTTAAGACCCTTCTCACCTGTACTCAAGTGAGAACAGCTTTATGTTAGGCTAGAAATAATAAAATCAGTTAAGTACCTAGGCTATCCTCTTTCAAAGTGCAGTGAGGGTGATGGAAACATACACATATCTTTGACCGTTAAGCAAGTACTATATAGCAACCCTTTTTGTTTAAGGGGTCAGGTTCTTTCCAACACGTGCTACCACAATTTAATTTGCTTACACGGGGGAAGAAAAAAAGTAAAAATATCAGAGGCTCAGATGTAAGAGGGTTGTGTGAGGACCACACGTCCTGGGCCAGTCAGCAACACAGTCTGAACCCTGGCTTCCCATTGCCGAGGTCGTGCATTTCCTCCCTCCCCAGCTCTCAACGCTGTCCTCAGCCAGCACGTGTACTATGGGGCACAGAGACCTGGCTATGGATGCTTATTGCTTTACTTGGCCACACAGCGGACACACAAGGCCTCCAGTGATCACCTCTGTTTAGCCTGTTAGCCAAAGATCACCAGTCATACAGATTTAAACAATAAAATGCCCGTATATTTTTTTTTTTTATATTAGTAGCAATCTGAATTCTCAGTCCGAATCAGGCAGTCCATCTCATTTTTCAGCAATTGCGTAACTATGAAGAACTGTCCTATTGTACCTTTAAATCCAGCATTTGACTTGCATAAAATTTTCCAGCGTACGTGCCATACTAGGCTTAAATATGGATAAGAAACTATGTGGACAAGGAGCGCATTCCAAAAAACATTCAGCTTTATAAATATTTGAGTTCTCAGGCTTTGAAAAGTGGCATAAATAAATAATCTCTCCAAGACCCCATGCAAAATACTTTAAAGAACACTTAATTACCTTCGGCCAGAAGTACAATCCAATCCTAATTTTATCAGTAAACCTACCAAACCCTCTTGGCTCACCAAGCTCTTGGGACTTGCAAGCTTTAGCTACACTGTCCCTGGAAGGAGGTAAAGCTGGGTATTTTGGGGAGGTTCTGTTCCCCCCCAGCCTGTTGTATGTTTGAAATAGCAACCTTTGTGAATAAGACCAGGAACGCTCTAAATGCAGCTCAGCCAGCAGTTATGCAGACCAGATGGCAGTTTCTCCTCCAGTGCTGTCATTATTTTATCAACTTCTGTTCTGATTTTAAAAGGATGTGGATGTATCCCAAAAACACAATCACTGCAAACAGGGAAGTAATGTTCTAGCAATCATTTCACTTTGGAGGCCTTCTTTAAACACCTAGATAATGAAGCAGGTTATCTTAATGCAATAACCAGTTTCCACAGAAGAGAGCAAAAAGGTCACAGGAGTCTCTTACAAACCCTCCAGCAGCCGCTTTCTGGTGTTGCAAGACACCAGTTCAGCATTCAACAAAATAAATTCCATTTCCGTGATCGCAGCTTCTAGCAAAAGGCGGGTGCTTCCAGGTGTAGAGAGGAGCAGAGCTTCCCTTGTGTGGTGGGGAAAATAAGTCTGACCCAAATGGGTGGTGGAAAGGTAAAATATGATGCGCAATTATTGGCAAATCCAGGAGTTTCTTAGCTGTACTAATGACTCAAATGGAGGCATACTTCTCCACTTAAAACAGGTCTATTTATTACGGCTCAAAACTGCTTTTGCACTGGACAAACAATACCCATTCTTATACCACTTATTATGGTTTATAGCAGGCATTCAAAAACCAGCATTAGTAAAACTACCATCAACTGTAACCTATGACAGGACTACTGGAGGAGCTCTGAAACTGTTTGGAAGAGATTTTATCTGCCAGTAAGAAAACCCTTAAAAATACCACCAGTAATCTGGTTTTTACCTTTACTTGTGCTTTGACTTCTTGGAGCATAGCAGCAATGTCACATTTTGGTACTACTGCTGACAAAACAGATTGCAGTTTTTGCTGGTCCAGGCTTGAGACGAGCAGCTGATCCAAGCTAAAATGAACAGAAAAATATAAAAGACAGCTTTATGATTCTAGACCGTGTAGAGATATGTTTCAGGTATACAGTGTAGGTTGCCTTAGGGTAAACAATGAAGGGCCAGCTCATCAAGCAGAAATCTTGAAAACAGGTAAGAAATGGTGTATGCTGGGAGAACGGGAAGGGGAAGAGAAGGCAATTTAAGAATAACTCTGAAAAATCAGTCCCCGTTCTGTTCCCCTCCTCCTTCCCCAATGGTTTTAGCAACAGACATTAACAAAAACAAGGAGACAGCTACATCTGAAGACTGCTTCTGGCAGGACAACAAGCTCGTTTGTCACCGCAGGCTGTGCTGGCAGCCAGCGCTGCACAGCCTCCCCCTCCACAGCGGCTGCTGTGTCGTAACGTAGCCGAAAAATGACCAAAACCAGCTAGAGGGGACACAGAAAAGGAGCCCAGCCCTGCCAGGATAAAGTGTTTCACCCTGTACTGAAGCGTGGCCACCACCAGACAGCAGCATGGCAGCTCCGAGAGATCAAGAGCATGAAGAACAGCACCCTGAATTGTGAGGTGAATGGGGGCTGGAGCCAAAGCTGAAATGCGCTTTGGGGCGGACCTGGGGCAATGGGGAAGCTTTGTCCTGGGAGAGGCTTGTGGGGATAAAAACAAAACAGCAGTAGCAAAGTCGACACCAACCTTATGGACCAGCTGTTTTCTGAGCGCTCCCCATCCAGAGAGCTGCTGTGGGGCACGTCATCATCCGCCAGCCCTGCCAGGATAAAGTGTTTCACCCTGTACTGAAGCGTGGCCCCAGCCAGACAGCAGCATGGCAGCTCCGAGAGATCAAGAGCATGAAGAACAGCAGAATTGTGAGGTGAATGGGGGCTGGAGCCAAAGCTGAAATGCGCTTTGGTGCGGCCTGGGGCAAATGGACCCAGCGGGCTGCGGTGGGGCCCGTCATCACCCGAGGCAGACCCTGGTGTCCCCGAGCCGCTGTCCCGAGGGCTGCTGGCACCCATCCCCATCGCACCCGCTTCAGTGGGGCTGCAGCGGGCTGGCGGGGCTGCGTCACTCCCGGCAGGTGTGCCGACGGCTCTGCGGGGTGTGATTTCCAGCTCCGTCTTGAAGCAGGCGGGCTGCGGCGGCCCTGAGAAGCCCTCTCCGCACAACTTGTCCAGGTCGGGCATGCTGAGGGCCCTCAGCTCCCGCAGCCTGGAGCGGGACAGCGGTGGCCGCCCCAGGCCCCGGCTGCGGCGCGCCTGTGAGGCCGAGGGGGGAAAGGCGGCCACATCTGCCCCAGCGCCACCCTCCTCGCTCCTCTGGGGCTTTCCTTCCCCCTTGCTGCCCTCCGCCACACGCGTGGGCTCTGCACTGGTGGGAGACTTGGCCATGGCGTTGGATGGGCTCGGGCTGCCGCCGTAGGAGCTCAAGCTGCGCCGCAAGGCCCGTGGTGTCTCGGCAGGGCTGGCTGTGGTGGCCATCCCACCACACGACCTCCTGGTGAGGGGGGACCTCGCAGCCGAGTGTATATCGATAGCCTTCACGATGGGCCGGTCGAAATTTGCCAGGTTTTCAAAGGATTTGATCCTCTGTTTGACAGAGAAGGATGAGGTAGGTTCATGTGGCCAGTTCAGCTCATAGTAGTAGTAATTCCTCCTGAAGTTCCTCAGCTTATCGGTGGCAGGGCAGCTAATGTCGCTGGCTGAGGGGGAGGTGTCATGGACTTTCTGGGTGCTTTTGGAGGCGTATGCCTGCTCCTTCCCACTCTGGACATTCGGCGGGTTGAGATGGACCATCTTTAACATTCCTGTCACCGTCTGGGGGTATTTCTCCTCTGCAGCGTGGCCCTGGGGTTCTTGCATGGGATGAACCTCTGCAACATGGCAGTCCTCCCTCAAGTGACCTGATAACTGGGCTGGCATCGAGTAAGTCCTCGTGACAGGTTTTGACAAGCCATAGAGATTTCTGTCTGCGGCAGTATCTGCTTTTGAGAAATACTGGATGGTACCCATCTCCTCAGTCAGCCGAGGCACTTCTGCATTTGCCTCTTCTGTTTTCTCCAGCAATGGCAGCTGCAAAAACGATGCTGGTGAGGAAGAGGCGGAGGAAGAGGAGGAAGAGGATGATGAGGAGGAAAGCTTCACCTCAATGAAAGTGCGCTGGATCTCCTGCCCTTCCAGCTGCTCCTGCTGAACTGAGGGGGACCTCAATGAAGAAGAGCCTCCAGCAGATGGTACTATGTTTTGCAGATCTAATTGCCCAAGGTCATCTGCACTACAGACGCTCTTGATCGTGTTCAGGCCTGTTACAGGGTTCTCAGTCCTCCCTTTCACATATTCAACTTTTGGTATCCCCTGAGGAGATGAAGAGACTTTGGACTGACCGTCTCTGGCTCTGAAATCATCCACCTTAACACCCTTACCCTGACACACTGCAGGCTGCATGGAAACTTGCTTTTCTTTTGGCTTTCCCCATGCCTGCTGCAGGTCTGTTAGCTCCCCACAGCCACACTTCATTTCACTGCTCGCTGTTGGGCTGCCGGTGCCATTCAGGAGAGGCAGAAGTGAATCTTCAGAAATGACCAGCGATGGTTTATTTTCTAGCTCTGACTTCAGAGTCCTTGAGGCTGCTGAAATGCTCTTGCCAGGATCTGGGTTTGTAGGTGTATTACGGGACAATGGTGTTTTCTTCCCCAGGAGTTTAGGGGACAGCTGTGGAGAAACAGAAAACCTTTTCTGATCAGCCCCACTGACTTTGGTAGGATTAATGCCAGAAGAATCCGAATTTGCCTTTGCTTTGCTTTTGATGGTGAACCCTTTTAGCTTTGGTCCTGCTTTGGCCTTCTGGTTATTTAAAAGGGTGTCCATTATACTTTTTTGTGCCATTCCCTTAGACTCCTGACAGGATTTTTTCTGTGAGGATGGGCTGTGCGGTACTGCAGCTCCTTTGCAGTGATTTGTGCCTGAGCTTTGGACTTTTCCATTGGAAGTCCTTCCTGAAGTCACAGAGTTAATTTTCTCATTTTTCCCTGGCAAGTCATGAGTTGTATTAGCCTTTGGATCTTTAGATCTAGTGGGAAAGGGAGACCTGAGTGATATTGCTCTTGGTGATGATGCATTCACATGATTGCTGTCTGTTTTAGACGAGCTGGACAAACTGTTGGTTTCCTTCTTCAATAAGCAATAACTAACAGCATGATTACAGTCATCAACCACTGTTTCGCTTTCAGATTTGGATCTCTGCTCATCACGACATCCTTCTTTCTCAAGCAAGTTGTTCTCCAAGCCATTGACATTTCTAGCAGAGCAAAAGCTTATCTTTTTGCAGTGCAGAGACCCTTCCTCTTCAATAGATTCACAGCATTTCATATGTCCGTTACTGTTCCCCAAACCTATCTGTTCTTCTGTACTTAAGGCACCATTGTTACAGAAAGAGTAAACTTCAGGGACACTGACTGAATTCTTTAGGATGTCTCTTTCTGGCAGGAAAACTGAGGAAGGAGAACACAAGGATGCAGAGGACACATCTGAACACTGTGAGGGACATGGAGTGGGACCACCGTGATCTTCCAAGCCTAGTTTGTTGATGCTTGTTTCCAGTGACCCACACATTGCACAGCCCTCAGTTTGCAAAACTTTGCCGCCGTAAGGTTGCAGTGGGGACAGAGAGGATGAGCTTGTTGCAGATGTGAGATGCTGCTCCTGTGTGGGCTTTTGCGGCTCATCGTTCATGCAACAAATCTCAATTTGCTCCTCATCCGACTCCATTACAGTACAGACTGCAGGGGCATTAGCAGCAGTGCACGGCCCAAGCAACACCTCATTAGCACTATCAAAGGTTTCTGTGACAGACTCTGCGTCTGAGTGAGAATCCTCCGCAGCCCCATACATAGACTTTGGAAAGGGGTCGCTTCTCTTACCTTCCAGAGAGTTCGCTGTAGGCAACTCATCCTCATTTAAACTGCTAAAATTCCTAGAATAGTTATTTAAAGAGTTTTTATTCACAGTAAAAAGTTTGCCTGTGTTAATGGAGTCCAACACAGACAGCCCCAAAACCCCTTGTGCATTAGCTCCACAATTCATAGTTTTTTCCAGCAGCTCCTCCTTGGCTGGTCGTGGCTCAGATCCGGGACAGCCTTCGTCAGTCCCGCAGCAGCACATCGTGGTGTACTCATCTCGGAGGGGGCTTTCCGCTCGTGACGGGGTGTGCGAAGCCCTGCTCTCGGGAGCACCCATTTGGCTGAGCAAGTCATCGATATCGGTGACGGGGATGGCAGCGCAGTCCTCGGCGTGGCTGCTTTTCATGGTACCTCTTTGCACGTCTTTGCTCGTGGCATCAGGTGGCAGTGTTGTTCTCTCCACCGCACAGCCGCCACCAGCATTTTGCAAACCTGCTACTTCTCGCTTCCCAGCACTCGGTTCTTCCTCAGTTGCGAGGATGCTGTTGACATCGGCCTGATTTTGACTGTCTAACCCTGGAGACAGGATGAGGTTTGTAAATCTGCTGACAGCTGCATCATGGTAAAAATAAATTAAAAAAAAGAAGCAAAATCCTGTCAGATATGGGAAGTGATACACAAAACACCAGGTTTTATTACAAAAATAGACACCCATGAAGTCAGACTGTATGTTTTCCTTTTGCTCTGCACTCCTCCTCTTCTGTAATGATGTTTACAACAACTCAAATTAATCACAACCCTGTGTATCTGAGTAGGATACAGGAGGGAGCAATCCACTTATCCAAGGTGAGTAGTCATGATCTGTTTAATTCTCATCTTTGAAATTTCAGCAGTCAAGCAGCCAACTACCAAAGTGTCAGCATGCAGTAAGTCAGGCTGAGCACTACCACTTCTCACTACATGTTTGATCGAAGATGTCTCCAATAGATTGCAGAGAGTACACAAAGCCCTGGCACAGCAAACAAAGGTGAACAGATAACACAGTGACGAGCTGTGCATAAGTAACTTGATTGATCCTCTCGGCACTTATGCAGGTGTTTAATGTGACACGCATGGGTGATGTTATACTCACGTTAAGCATATGGGCTTTAAAGGATTTCTGGCACAGACCTTTCCTTGTTTCCAATACATGTTTAACCCACTCTGGGGCAACACACTGAGCTCCCTGTCACTGCTGCGCTCCAACACCCATTTCTCCAGCTCTGCAATTTTCAGCACTTCACCCTAAGCATCTGCTTGCACCTTTCTACACTGCTGCTGGGACACGCATCCCCATTCAGGCTGCTTTCTAGAGGCCAGTTACTACCAGATGAGTCCCAGAAAATGCATGGAGAAGGAGGGGTGTATTCACAGTGTCAGCATCCTTTCCTGCTCATTCAAATGTGCCAGCACATCTCTCTAATCCTTGCACAAACCTGCAGGATTATCCACACCACTTAACTTAGGTACCCATGTTAAGAAGTGCAGGTTTCTCCTGGAGTCAACAAAGGGGAAGAGAACTCAGAAAAGCAATCTGAGGCAGCCAGGTTAGGATTTGAAGTACTGCTCTGCTTCAGCATGCTGGATCACACACTGAAGAGACCCTCCTCTCTGCCAGTGGGGCAGGGCAAGGGGAAAGGGAAAGCAGAAGAGTTGCCTGATATAGGAGTGCCAATGTGCCCCTACCCCAATGCTATCAGTGTGCAAAAGCCACAGCAATCTAAGGAGACAAGAACAGGACTCTCTGCCAAGCCAGGGATTTCTTAAAGAACAACTGGAACTGAAGCATCTGGAAGCACTTTAGGCTCCCAGGTATTAATAGGTACACAAAAAAGATCATAAGCTAAACCGAAGCAAAATATTATGTTCTTCCTGAATTTGAAAAGTATGCTTTTCTTTTTCAAACACTCATTTCCACACCACGTAATTTGTACAGTCTGTGGGGATGCATATATTGCTGCAGCAGCATAAATCAGCCCTGAGCAGAAACTAAGGAGGTATCAAATGTTTCAATTCAAACTAGGAAACTTTTTATAAGAAACATGCAAATAAACGTTTTGATAAGATTCTAGTTTTCTTGGGTTTTCTGTTTCATCTTTCTGCACATTAGAGAATTGACACATGAAAGGGAAAGAAAGAAAAAAGGCTTTTATTATCTTATTGCCATTCACAAAAACACTATTTAAACTTCAGCTTTTAAGAGAGAAAGATGTGATTATAAAGGGTTAATATATTTACTGAACAGGCAGAGCAGTAAAATGGGTTGTCAGGACAGGGTTGCTGCCAAGTTAGCTCCAGGTCTACATGAAATGCTCAGACCTCTGCAAATACTGGCAGGAGGGACATACAGTAAGTGGGAGCTTTGAACGCTTCACACAGGAGTAGGTTTGCTCTGCTCATCATGGTGCTAGGAAGGACCCCGAAGCCTGGTTTGGTGATGAAGTGCTTTGCCTGGCTCACCAATGCAGACACAACGTACCCCCTGTTTTTTCTCTGAATCTATGTGGGAAACTGGGGCAGCAGATCAGACCCAGCAGATCCAAGGGAATTTTCTTCACTGGTACTCAGAATAAATGGTACAAAAGCAAAACTACTTTCTCACCTGATGCTGCTTTCTGGATCTCCAGGGTTACGGATGTGGGAAGACACTGCATAAGCAAGCAGATTTCCTCGTACGTCATCTTACTGACTGGGATACTGTTGATGGTGGTAATCTCATCTCCTACAGCCATCTTGCCCATTGATCCCTGATGCAATGACAGATCCAAGGAAATCATAAATACACCTCAGAAGCCCTGCCACGGGGCAAAGATTGCAGGGGAGCAATTAATGGCTTACGAACAACATTCCCTATTTCACATCACCGCAGATCACAGGTACCACTGCTGTCAGTTTGCCAACACGTAAATAAAGAGCAGACTGTGCTTTTGCCAGGAGAGGAATTAATGATCAATCTAAGACAGGAAGGTCAAATGAGCTGCTGGGTTCTCTCAGAGATCAGTATCAGGATGGTGGACACAGCCCTCTTCATTTAAATGAATTGGGATGGATCAGTCCTAGCTTCTTCAGGACTGGAACACTGTCTATCATTTTTGCATTTCATGTATGAATTATATTCCTGGTCCCAACCTCCCATTGGACCAATGGGACTCTCCTAAATAACTAAGTTGGACCGGGACTGAGCTCTTAAGGTAAAAGCCTAAGTATGTTTCTAAACACTGCACAATAAGTCAGAGGAAAAGGCAGGAACAGAACCCAAATCCCCAGCTCTCACAGCCTAATTCAAACTGCTACGACATATCCCCTCTTACCCTAGCGGCCACTAACTAGATTAAAAATGCTACATCCAGCTTTGTACACCAGAGTATCCTCCTTCCTCTTTCTGCACTTTTGCATCTAGGTCAGCAATTCCACATCCGGCACGAAGCAAGTATCCACACTAGTATGTGCATGTATGAGATGCAGAAGAGCAATGTTACTGGTACTTCCATGGCACTTGGCAAACCTGACTAGCACTTAAGGCCTCCTGGTACCAGATTTGTATAACACAGCAATACGTGCAAATAAATTAATAAACATTTTTACCACCAGGATTTACTTATTTTGTCTTTGCCTCTGGTAAAAAGAAATGAAACAGAAGGACAGTATTCCCTCAAAACTGTGACTGCAAGTGGGGATCAGTCCATCTCAGTAGATCTGCCTCTTGACTTTCTTAGTTTTGAATCAGCCAAGGGTGCACTTCTGAATCAGACACACTTCATTTAACAGCAGCTTCAGAACAATTGGGATGAGATGTTTTGCCCAGCAGAGACAAACATCTCCCCTGCGCTTACTCTCAACAGATCACTTCCTTAATAATAATAATCATCATCATCATCCCCCCTGCGAAGTGAAAGCAAATCACAACAAGGCAACACAAATTAAAAAAATTACCATTTCTGCTGCTCCACCTGGCCGCAGTCCTGTGACAACAACCTTTAAGGGTATGGCCTGGATTTCCAAATCCAGGCCGAATGACTCGTGCTCATTGCGAACCAGAGTGACTACTTCACCCTGGCCCTGCCCGGCCCCATCGGGTGCTTCACACTTCTTGCTGTGAGGGAGCGTCCTCGCCACAGGTTTGTTATAAGAGCCATGCTCCTCTGTCCTCTGTCTCTGAAGGCTTCGGCACTCAGTGCTCATCATGCTTTTCACTCTCGTGACTGCTCTGTGCTCAAGTTTTGGTGACCTCTTAGATTCGAGTTGTGCTTCCCGGAGCTCCTTCAAACTCAGGCTGCCAAGACGAACTTCAGGCACACTTGAGTAATCGAATGCTATGATGGGGAAGAAAGGAGAGTCAATTTGCTCCAGTGAGCTGTCTGCAGACTCCACGGAGTTGCTGAAGACAGGGGAAGACGTCTCCGTGCTACTATGCCTAGTTGACTCACTGTCCTGGCTCTCATCATTGATTTCTACAGACGAGGTTGTACTGACAATGCTAGCGTCCTCCTGGCTCTTGGCCCTCTGGCTTCTTTGCAAGTGGGAGCTTTCGTCGTCATCACTAATGTCACCATCGTAGAAAACAACCCTCCTCTGCCGATGAAAGGGGCTGCGGGCAGATTTGGGGCTGTCGCTGAGGATGCCGGGTCGGACAGACTCCACGTGCTTGTTGTGAAGGCCAGATGATCTCCCACTAGTTGGAGAAGCCAGACCATTTGCTTTTGCTGCTCCTGCTTCTCTAGCAGCTAGAAAAAAATAAGTTATACTTTAATTGCATTTATAGATGATTTTTAATACCATGCATCTGACTGCAGCGGAGTACATGTGGCTCTGTTTGCAGGGCTTAACCTCTCTTCACAAACAAAAAAGCGGGTTTTTCATGTCCTCCCTCTAACTACAGTAAACAGCAAGAGGGATGGCAGATAGCTCCACGATTTATGGGTAATTCCTGAAATCAGTTCATGGCACATCTGGTTCTATTTTCAGTTTTTTTTCTAAATTATGACTATGACCCAAAGAAGAAAGGGATGCAAATTCACATGTGTATTTTAATTTAAACAACAGAATTTCTTTTACATTTTGCTTAAATTTACGCTCAGGATTGCCTGTATCAACTTACAGAGAGTGAAAAATGCTTTCCTGAACAAAGACACAAGCACACGACAATAAGTTTCAATTAAAGACTAATAAACCCAAGAACCCTTTCCACATCCTTCTTAGAAAGATCTGCATCTTATTTTGTAGAAAGTTTTTTTGTTTGCTTTGTTTTGTGGGTTTTTTAAAATGTAAAAATGCTTTTAAGCATTAAATAATGAATTTCCAGAGAAAAATAAGCTGTAGACAAAGACATTACTTGAGAAGCACAGGAAAGGGAGAACAAATGTAATATCCTTTGAATTTGAAATCAGGTGCATGTCAGTAAGGACATGTAAGATTCCTTCAGTCCATTACTATGGGGAGGAAGACACATATGCAAAATATCTGATGTCAAATTGAACATTTGATTGTTTTTACACTGCTATATATGACATTTTGAAATTGTGTATTTGAGATAGTTATGAACACTTTCATTTAAATGTAATCAATCAGATGATCATCAGTCATTTGAAAAAAACCTGCAGTGCTGTCAATCTAGTTTCGGCCAAACCAATCAAATAAAGTCATTTTCACATAATCAGAGCAGCAATTTGGACAAAATACCATGGAAACGTGCATTTATGTGCATTGTTGTAAACCCCTTCCATTTTCCAGAATTTCATATGATCAGCACTGGCTTGCACTACGCTGCCAGGCATTTCTTACCAGCACAGGAATCATCACAGCTCTCCTGTAAAGCAAACCAGCGCTCAGTGACTCTCCCCATTAGCCAAATGACCAGACACATTTCCTTTGCTTACTCAGGTTGCCGGGAAGAAGAGAGCCATCATCCAACAAACTGTTTCTGCTCTTCTGACGGAGCTGCTCTTCGTCACAGGAGCCAGTTACAGCATCAGAAAACGAGAGCTGGCTCGTACTGTCGTGCGAGAAGTACTGGGAAAGCTCTGCCTCGGAGCTGACAGATCCCTGCTGAAAAGAAGTGAGCCTGGTGACCGGCCGTCATCGATGTTTAGAGTCCCTGTCTGCATGCAAGCACCACAAACTCCACTCACATCACCCTTGTCAATAAAGGAAGTTTAAAGCCAATTTTTAAAATAGAGGACTTGTCAGCATATTGAGAGCCAAACTGTCAAACTTGGATGGCTGAAACACTGCACATCAATACATTTTTAGCCAGTATAATAAATAAAAAAGGATTCTAAATCCCACTACTTTGCAGATATGGTTCAATGCAGAAACAAGGGATGAAACCATTCACTTGTGTAATTCCCTTTATACACCTTCTGCACTGAGAGAAGGGAAAGGTTTGTACCTCTGGACACGGTTTGTATGGCTTCTTTGGCTCTCCCAGGAAAACCAGAGACTTTTCCACCGCAATGGCTATATAAAGAGAGCAAGCGCTCAGCCTTCTGCCCACGGGCTGAGGTCTCTCCTGCTAACTTCGCCTCTGTGTCCCACAGAGCAGGGGTGCCTTCAAGGTGGCAGGAGGTGGGAGCACACAGCTTTCTCTGCCTTGCTCTGCACATCGCTCCCAAAGGCTACCGCCACACAGACAAACAGGAGCTTGCTGCTGTCATGATTTAAACGTGTGACATAAGAAACAAACCCTTTTATGGAGCTCATGTCACAGGAAAGGAGCATAAAGGTTTGGTTTTGAACTCCTTGATCAAGTAAGAGCTTCAGTAAAAGCTGAATTTGAAGCAGACGCTGTATTTATTGCATCTAATCCTTTTACCCGGCTTGCTGGCTCCAGAAAGCGTTTCATAGTCCAGCTGAGGGGAGATGAGGTCTCTCCTTGTTTGGCCTTCACATTAGGAGATGGGCTTTTTTGTACAGCTCCTGTTAAACACAGCTTAGTTAGATGCCAAAAATTAAAGTTGCGGTCCATATATCCAAACAAGCTCCTCATTCACCTTCTGAGCTGGGGCTGCATTTAATCCCACTTATTATCTAAATTACTTTCCTAAAGTGAGATTTATTTAACATTTCACAAGCTCTCCCTTGGATCAGACGAAACATTATCACACAGACACATTACGCCAGCCAGGCCCAGGACAGAGCTACGAACAAGAGATGAGCAGGAGATGGTCTTCCTCACCGGCTGGAGCATGCTCCTGGCTAGGTACAACCTTGAAAGACAAATTAGCAGCCACTGGCAAGGTCTACTTCAAAAAAGGTCTTACCTGACACAGATACAAAGAGGATAATTACAAATCTAACATTTCTGTCTAAAAATCACCTTACTAGTCACTCTGCCATTGCCAAGAGTTTGCTTTTATCCGTAAGATTTGAGGAAGTGCTAAGTCCAGAGTTCAAAAACATCAGGCAAATGCCAGAGCACACATTTTGACATGACCCCAAAGATTAAAATGCAGTTGAAACACATAGTCCAGTATGCAATATCTGGACTTTTTCAAATGAACTCATGAATACTTTCTCTTTTTCTTTTTTTTTTTTTGGCATCTACATGGGTAAGTGTACACAGATGGAGTTGATTCCTCCTGTCCTTCCTCCACTGGGACATTGTCCTTCCCATTCATCCTGAAGAAAGGATAGAGCAACCACCTCTTGGCAGTCCTACTTTCAGAACATGGCAGCCTAGAGAAACAGAGCAAGTTAACATCAGCTATAGAGTTGATCCATCTAAACTGGATGTTTTTGCTAAAATTTCTGCAGTGGACAGAGTGCTTACATCCCCCAAACTGTCCTGCTGTTTTGAGGGCCCTCAAAATATTGACGTTGGGGAACCCAAGAGCACGTCCTTAAACCTTCCTGCATCTGGAAAAGGACATATATTAGGAGAGACCATGCTGCTACCTGTGACGTGAGCGGAGCTGGCGTCCTTGCTCTCTCGGTGGGTAGTACGTGCGATTGCTTCATCCATCTCCTGCTCAGAAACCTGAAGTCAAGTGGAAGACAGAGATCAAACTGGGTAGATGAAATGAAGATGAAAGTCTGACCACTTATCACTACAAATGCATGATTCATTTCAGATATGGTACTATTTTTAAAGATGCAGTAAAGAAGACCTAGTTCAGAGCTCCTAAGTCCTGGTCCCCTGATTCAGACTCCCTCCGTCCCACTCTCCTGCAAAAACCAGGAGGAAGAAGCCTGCTGATTTCATGAATTACGCAAACAAATAAAACAGCACTAGACTCAAAGAAATCAAATGAAGTCATTACAGCACAATTTTTACTCAATTAAGTACATTGATTTATCAACAAAATATTACTTTAAAATAGACAAAGGCTGCTTTGTACAAGCATACATCAGCAACAGAAGATAATCTACACTTAACCTACCGGAAGAATACCAGACTTTCCGAGATATTAGCTGTCTTTTTAATTTTAATTTCTCCTTGCTTTTAAAAAGAAAACCTAAATCAGTAATTGGGAATTAATGTTTCTCTGGTTTAAGAATAAATACTGGTTTACTGTATTTGCTAATTTTGTCCTGAAGTATTGCCATGCACTTAATTTTTATTACTGGAAAACTCCATATAATTTTATAAACAGGAACAACCAGTCTGTAGGTATATACATTTAAAAACAGAAAGCAAGTTAATTCTGTCGAAAATGATTTCTACACACATTGCTTTACATGAATTAAAATTCAGCATAAATAGAGACTAGAAACTTGAATCTTTCTGAACCATGAAGATTTGAAAGATTCCTAAGCAAACTCAGCAGTTTAAACATAGTTTAAATGCCACATTCACTCAGAATAACAAGAAGAAAGAAAATTTTGTGGTATTTCTCTTGGAAGTACATGAAAACACCGAAGTGAACATATTCAGCAACAAAATGTACTGTGGACCTTTTGTGTCATAAAATGAGACATTAAGTATAAAAATGTCTAAAACAACATGAGCCTTTGTAGAAATACATCTCTGTTTTCAGCCTGTAGCATGACCTTACAGCTAACCAAAAGCCTCCAGGCTCCTGGGGCACGGGGAGTTCCTACAGGACACGGACCAAGCCCTGAGAGTATGCTCCAGGACCTTTACACAAACCTTTGGGTACAAGATGTCTCAAGAGTAAAACTAGGTGCTGGGCAGACTGCAGTATTTGTTTAAAGCTAACCAAAAATCCACACTTCGGCAAGCTCTGCCAATTTTGATTTTTAGCATCCTCTATGCCTCAGGCAGATCAAACCGGAGAGGGACAAGCTACTTCCTAACTACAATCTGCAGGCTGGCATATTACTAAGAGCTAATAAAATAAAATAAAATACCCCCCACAATTCTGTAGATCCCCCAGTGCTGTCAGAAAAAGGGTGACAGTGACATAACGATAAATATAGGTCCCCATATGGACACTCCTTCAGAGATCCAACTATGAGGAACTGTGGATTCAATACTGCTGGGGGGGAAGAAATGCTTTAGGGTGTCTCCAGCTCAACTTTTAGCTTTTCTTAGCATTTCTTGGCAAAGAATTTGTTGTCATTTTAAATATCACTTATGGAAAACTGTTATAGGAGCCACTTAATAGTTTCCCTCTGTTACTGAGTAATAGCAAGCAATTAGCTTAACTCAGTTCATCTTCTCAGCAGATACCTGGTTAGGTCACTCATCGGCTTTCAAGCCACCACCACAGCAAGATGAAGGACGGAGGAGAGAGGGCAGGCTCCGCTCCATGAAGTCTTTATTTCATGCTACTTACAGACTCTCCAAAAAGTCTATATGCCTTAATAATGCAATCAAATTGAACCATCGTGCTGGTTCAGCACAGCATACAGACACCCTAGAAATACTGTTATCTTAGGCTGTAAGCCCAATTCTTACCCCCTCCATGCTTACCTTTAACTAACAGAACCATGTCCTCTTTCTTTTTAGCAGCACAAGGCCTCGCAGCAATGATAATAAACTCTGGGCAATAGACCCCTATTTGTCTATTGTTTGTATATTTGATTTAGCAGAAAATACGCAATTAATTATAAAATAAGAAACCTGAGTTCTCCTAGATATGGATTTATTAAGGCCCCCATTTGTAGTTAAGAGTTCAAAAGTCAGAGCTCTCTGGACCCACTAATGCAAATATTTTTACAGCTTCATTCCTGTTTAAACAGGAAGGTTTTGTACACTCATGAAATTCTTTGAAATATTGAAATAAAAGAAGCTGTTATTCCCTATAGCTTGGTTAAAAGGCTTTTATCTTCTATCATCAATTTTTAAAAATTGCTTGAAAATACTCACTTTGTAAACACAGCCTGATTTCCAAATTGCCCTTACACAGATTTCATAGTAGCAGTACATTCCAGATTCTCACGTTTTAATTCCTGAAGGAAAACTTTGATCTTTGGACAGATTTTACTTTTTTAAAAACAGTATTCCTACTACTCTATTATAGTTGATCAGTTCAATCTGTTGATATTTATATTCCTGGCCCTAAATTATATTCTACTCAAAGACAAACTCTCTGCAAAATAACTTTAAGAAGGAAGAGGTCTTGTGTCGTATTTGCGTTGCCACTTGGTCCAAGTACCAAGAAAGATGGGAACACTTCACTCAAGTAGTTCCAGGAAAACTGCATTCGATCAGCAGGTGACTAAGTGAAAAGCAGCAGGGACAGTCCAGCATTGCTACAACTTACAAAACTGGAAGACATCATTACAATCCTGGCTTCTTGCACAACACATAGAGAGAAAAATCCAATATTCTTCATTTGCTGCTTTCCTGACAGCAAGACTCGAATTACAGCGCCAGACAAAAACAACCCAGATACACTAACACATTCTCTCCTCACCTTTGGGTTAGGGTGCCGACTAATGATAAGGCTGACCGGACCTGGACCACATTCGCTCAGGATGGCGTAGGCTTCACTTAATGCCGCATGACGCAGGCTCACCGAATCTGCCTCCAGGATCTGGTCACCCCGACTGCAGAGAGACACAGAGCCAGTTAATCACAACCACCTTTTACAAAAACATTCGTGCTTTCAACTGATGGCCAAGCTTTGTCAAAGATACAAGTACATGGAAAAGATCTGACTTGCAAGGACACCAGTCTTGCTCTTCCTCCCAGTGATGTGAATGCTTTAAGTCCTGTTCACTTTGGGAGGGAGGTCCAGAGATCCCTTCTGCACTTACTGTCAGTGCTACAAACCCTATTAAACCAACAGAGAAAACTGGCTGCATTTGGACCAGGGTGAAAGCAAACTTCAATTCCAGTTCTGCATTCAGGTACTTGTTGAGCACAGAAGAGGAAAAATTAGATTCAGATGGGGTGTTCCTTCCCCTCATATTAAATTACTTAACACAAACACTGATAAGAAATTCGTGATTTAGATTTGAGTTTATGAAATGACTCCAGGAAAAAATTGAGTGCGATAAGCCTGTATTTGCTTCAAATTAATGTATAGAACCCATTTAAAAGACAAGAAGAAAAAACAAAAACCTCTGAGAGGAAAGCATAGATTCTTTAGTTTTGTTTTTCCAATTTCTTAACTCTTGCACATGGTGCTCAGACATCTGGAACTATTCAAAAGAAAAGATCATCAACTAGGGATATCATTAAAGCATTCTCCATAATTACTAAAGCATTTGCTTTAAATAGACATTCTCAAACAATCTACTACTGCTGATTTACGTTGGGCTACTTGTGACAGTGGAAATGAGTTTGCACTGTGAGTCCACACGCGAAAGGCAAAGAGGCAATTGCATGTGGCAGCCTTCAGTAACCTGTACTTCTGGTACGGGCTCAGGAAAGCAAAGGGTGACCTATCAGTTGTGTAATCATGCCGCTGCTCTGCCCATCTTTTAGATTTAAACAGCTATTAGAAACTACACAATTGGAGTCACTTACACAGGCGCACGATTGAGAGGGGGAGCTCAGATATGGAGGAGCTGGGTTCAAACCTCTTCTGGTATTGCAAAGCCAGTATTTGATTAATGAAGTTTTCCAAAAAATCAAAACCATCCTGTAAGTTTTGGCTTATGGAGCCATAAACCGCTGATGGGACAACAGAAGCAACGTCTCAAAGAAGCAAGCTAGAAATCTGGGAAGCATGCCTGGATATAATCAATCACTTAAACCTAATAAACGATACAGTTGTTACATACAGATGCAACCAGCACTGCAATCTTTTCCAAAGAGGCTTATAAGAAAGCAAGTTAGCATTAAATACTGTCTCCTCTAGACATTTCGATATGGTAGGAACTTTCAAGGGTTTTGGCACGGATGCCACCATAAAATTATCTTCTTCCCTTACTCCAAAAAATCAAATTGCTCTATCACAGTTTTCCTGGTGAGCAAGGAAACAGAAGGCACTCTCTACCCATGTGAAAGCAAGGCATTTGCTCAGCCTCTCTGCACCAGTGCTCACGCCACATGTTCAGTGCGGATTGCGTGGTCCCAGCGGGTCTTCAGCACAGCCTCCCCTCCTGAGCGATGCTCCCAGCGCCCACCAGCATTTATGCAGGAATGCAGAAAGGTGGAAGATTTCCTCCAATGTTTTTTTAAAAACGACGCCTCCAGGAGAGGAACAGCAAATAACTTTGTGTCACTTAATCCAACGTAAAGCACAAGGGAACACTAGGAATGATTGCTTCTCTCTCTTATGGTTCCTTAAAGACATCCAAACTCCAGGACAGATTAAATGAGACGGGCAGGTTGGCCTGCAGCGATCCTGCCAGACCGACAGTAAGGGCAGAAAAGCGCTGCTGCAGCCATGGGCACAATCAGCTTCAAGAACATCTCCCCCAGCTCTTTTTAAGAGTTTCAGGTGACTGAGCTTTTAGCAGAGCTCTGCAAATTTCCTCCCAATCTGGGGTCTCTGGCTGCAGCTCTGATAAAAAGACATGAGGCTGCACTTCTTGCTGCTCCCCCTTCTCAAAGGGTGCTATTAGGCTCAGTTTTCTGTATAGAGAATTAAAAAAAGAAAAAAACCCCAAACCTTAATGATTATGCTGCTTCCAGCACAGAGAATATTATTTCCTGGGTATTTAATACCACTTTGGAATGTCTTTATTTAAATCTTTTCTTTTTGGTGAACTCTTAAGTACAAATCCCCTCCCGGCTACACCAACCAATTGGTGAAAATAAAGTCTCAATCGATTTTATTGTAAAACCACTCCAGCATGTTTCTGCTTTAACTAACCTTAATCTGCCATCCATTTTAGCCACTGATCCTGGGGCCAGGCTGTGAATGTATATCCCTGGAGAACTGTTTTCCAGCGTGAGACAACAGGCACCAATGCCAAGCCCAACCCCTGGCTCTGTGAAAAACAAAAAGTACAAAGAAAAGTAGCTGATTGTAATCACACAGGACACACAAGTGTTTGTGTTCCCACATCCCATCTGAGACGAAGACTCATGTATTGTTTCAGGGCTGGCCTTAGGTGCAGTCAGTCAGGAAGTCCAGACCAACAGTGGAAATCAGGATTGAAAATATCTGATCCTGACTGTTTTCTGAGATCCATCACTCCCAGCAAATTTTCTGTGTGCCGTGGGAACCGCCTGGAAATGTCACACAAGGTCTGATCTGGTCCAAGGCACAAAGGAGTAGGGGCAGCAATCCAGTAAAGATGTCATTTAAAATTACTGCATAAAACGTGAGCACAGAAGATGCTGCCAACTGTACTGCTCTCTTTTGTTAAATATCTGCATGGCATCCCTCGGCAAAAAGGCACGAAGAAAGGTGAGGCGTTATCTCTGGTTCAATGATTACCTCTGTCCACTTTCACCTTTGCTTTTCTTCAGGTAACAGCATTCCTAAAGTAGGAAATGCTGGACGTCTTACCTTCTCCCTCCAAATTTTTAGTCCAACCTTTAAAATCAGCATATTTTAAGCCTTTAAAATAGGCGTATTTGTCCCACCACATACAGCATATGCTTTGAGTTTATCTTGTGCAATTATTGATAATGACAGCAACCCTCAGGCAGGAGTTCAAACAGCTCATCTGGGCAATTTTGAGCACTCTGCGTGGCTTTGCCTTCCCCAGAGCTGCCCTTTACAAGAAGGGCATGGCCATTTGGGCTGCTGAGAGGCTGATTCACATTTTGCCTGGTATCTCACAGCCTCCCCCTTTCAGCAGGACAGACACTGACTGCTACCTGTAAGAGTCTCCTGATTCTGGAGCAGCAAAGCGTGGAAGGGGGAACTCTTTAGAGGTTTTTGCATTAGAGGATGTTTTTCTCCCCCATCCTCTGGTTTAAGATCAGATGGACACAGGTAGGTGCCCTGGATATTTGAGCCTCTAGCCTATTCCCAAAAACTCCCCTAAGCAGCAGGGATTCGTTCTCCAAGCCCATTTCAATGGACCCTCACCTTTATTGAGCGTCACATCCATGACGATCCTGTCCTTTGGGCCGGGTCCTTTGCGGCTGGAGGAGGAACCGTCCGCCTCGTCGGGGCCAGGGACCGGCGTGCCACCGCTGGCGCTGGAGCTGGGGGAGCTGGAGCGGCTCAGCAAGGTGGGAGTCGCACAGGGTGTGAGGCTCGGGCTGCGCAGCCGTGTGCGCACTGTCAGGGTCACCACTCCTTTCTTGAGTTGCTGGAGAGACATCAGAGAACCCCAATAAGGCAACACGATACACCAACATTTGTCAGTAAACCTGCATACAGTAATTTCTGGCAGCGAAAGAATGTAAAGCCCAGGGTGCTAAATGGCACTGAACGAAGAGAAGCATGAATCTCTCCTGTAGTACATCTACATTACCTTAAACCTCTGAATGGCCTCCTGATGGGTCAGCCCTTGTAGAGACTCTCCATTAACTTCTAGGATTTCATCCCCTGGTAATTAGATACAAAAAATGAAGTCAGCAATATACAGACTACAGAGATTCCTGTACATAAGGCGACCTGCTACTATAACGAAATTAACTCCCCAGTAAAGAGTCTTTTACTGTTCTCAGTTTATTTTCACTTGTCCTAATGACTTTACAAGTTAATAGTGATGAATTAGCAGAGTAAAGACTGTTCTTCAGCAGAGACCCTTAGCTTGGCATTCTCATAATAACAAACAAGCTGAAAACACTACAGATTTTAACTAAAGTCTGAAAATAGATGCTCATAAGATGAAGTCCAAAGGGACTACAAAAATCCCTTTCTTTTGTGTGTATCAACAGGAGAAACAAGAATCTAAGTGAAACACTACAGCACATCACTCCAAAGCCTGTTCAGAGAAAACTGGCCTTGCTGCAGAAAGCAAACATGTCCTTTTACTAAATGCCTGCGGACGGAGAAGCGAATAGCCTACACACTGCAATAGCAAATGCCCTTCTCACTCCAAAGAACATGTCCCGTCACATTTCTACCTGCTTCCAGGCTCTGGGTCTTGCTACTTACACCCAGCTGTGTTGATCTACCTTCATTTTATTAAAAGGAGGGCAAAGTGAGCAGGATCCAGATCCACTTTCTGGAATTTTACTTGAATCTGTGCAAAATTAGATGGGGCAATGCCATCAGCCAAGTCTACCCCTCCTCTCCTTTCCTTGCCCAGTTAAAAAAAAAAAAAAACAAAACAAAACAGTATGCAAGCTCTGAATAGCCTGCAAAGGCTTGCTGGGTTTACGGGACAGCTGCTACTGATTGGCTTCCCATGGCAAGTGCACAACCTATGCTGCAGGGATGCGAGCTTCCCTCTGGCAGTAAGTGCGAGAGTTGGCACCAAACCTCTCCTTTCCTTGCCCCAGTTAAAAAAAAAAAAAACAAAACAAAACAGTATGCAAGCTCTGAATAGCCTGCAAAGGCTTGCTGGGTTTACGGGACAGCTGCTACTGATTGGCTTCCCATGGCAAGTGCACAACCTATGCTGCAGGGATGCGAGCTTCCCTCTGGCAGTAAGTGCGAGAGTTGGCACCAAAAGCATCCTCAAATACAACAAGTGTGATGAGCTATAACTAGAGGAATGATGATATGAGAAGGAGAGAAGTAACACAGGAGCAGCTTGAGAGAAGTAACACAGGAGCAGCTTTCTGCGGATGAGAAGTAAGCTAACCCCTGCAGAAGAGTTGTAAACCATCGCTTTAAACTCATGGTCACTTTGTACTTTCAACAGTGTGTAAGAGTCTGTCTGTCTGACATGGGAGCACTTGGACCAGGGTGCAAACACAAACAGAACAGTCTATACATCCAGCTCAGAGATCAAGACTGGAAAAGCAGTAATAAAATCAGGATGTATCTACTTCTCTAACCAGCTGGGTGATTTTACTGCCAATCCCATCCTTCCTCTTTTCTTTTTCTGGTTATGACTCGTACTTGTTGATTCATGCCAAAATCATACCAAGAGGCTCAGAGAGCACAAGGGCCCAAAACAGCCTCTCCCAAGCATGTCCCTCTGTATAACCCCTTCTTGGACCAGCACCTTTAAGCCAGATGTTGGTTGGACAGATACGTTTCACTGCTATCAATGACCCTTTCCAACTGAAGAATTGCAGCTTATGGCTTGGGCAAATAAAGTTCACTGAAGAGGAAGGGAAAAAAAACCATCATGATGCTGTAGTTTCCCCTTCTCAATATGCAATATAATCAAGTTACCCGCTATGAATGATCTTCCCCAGGATGGACAAACAGGGTGTGTTACATCCTCCACAGCCTCTTGCTGATGGCCAGGTGCCTAAATAAAGCTGTACTTGAATTTTTCTGCTGGACTGAAATAATATCCCACTGTGGTCCTTAACATGCAGTTGGATTCTCTCTACTGTACCTTCTTTAAGCCTTCCATCAGCAGCTGCTGCTCCGTTTGGGAATATAGTCTTCACAAAAATCCCCATGCGTCCGCGAGCAGAATCCTGCCCTCCCACAATGCTGAATCCAAGACCCTACAGGAAAGGGAGGAGAAGACACACAGCTGGCACCTTACTCTATCATCACCTATGTGAGAAAGGCTGCTGATAACATAGAAGACAAAGGAAAGATGAAAACCTAATAGCTGCTGCTGAATCGCACTGCCATCTTACCTCTGCTTGCATTTCCTGATTTACTTTCACTCTAATATCAACACACTTATCAACCCAAAAAGTAGCAGCAGGCACCTTAAGCTAAAAGACAAAAATGCTATTTCAAGATTTTTATTGTTTTTTAAACACTGGGTCAATGGCTATATGTTATCCTGTTCCCATTTTAAAAACTGTAACACATTGCTCTTAAATTGACAAGCAGTAGATTCCCACCCCTGAGATCTATATCCAGGATTAACTGTAGTTTTCTCTGCTGTCACAGATCCTGCATTTCCTCAGGAAAAAGAAAAGCTTAAGAACATGACATAAGGTCAGTGCTGTAATGTCAGGAATGTAGCTGGAAGGGGGCTGGCGTGGGGGGACTGCCATGCACATGTACATTTTTAATTATTCTGGAGACATGTACCACGTCGTATTTAAATAAATCTAGATCAATACATTCCCCAGGGCTCCATCTGTTAGCTCTTGCCCCTGCGCTGCCCTGGCTTGCTGTGGGACTGTCTTGCAAAGCTGATCAGGGAACGAATGAGCACAGCAGAACAAACCTCTCCCCCTTCTGCTGAGTTATTTCCCAGCCAAATCACTTCCTTGATCCATTCCCCCCCCACATTTCTCCTCTTGTCACCGCTGTACATGTATTTTACAGAATAAAGAGAAGAGTCACTGAACCAGGTGGACAAGGGAAGTGGAAAACTGTTGTGCTTCAGTGATCTGAAGCCACGGTTATTATTAGTGCCTCAGGCAGTGCTCTCCAGCTGAGGGATGCTGCCAGGGCAGGCACTAACACTGTGTTTACAACCCAATACAAGAACCAGCTCTTTTGTTTTACTCCGTGAATATAAAGTAGACTACCACAGTTACGAGCTTCTAGTAGTTTGATAAGACATTACTGATTTCTAGAAAGGAAGCATGCTAGTTCCCTCGTGCAACACAAAATAACTCAACTAACTGTTTACTGTGCAATTATCAACTGCAAAGCAACCTACAGAAAGCAGGAGGCTCCTGGCATTCCCCTGCATGGATACAGCAGTTCTCCCCACGGCTCCGTGGGGTGGGGTGGGAGAAATACAGCTGCAAAGCACAGTGGTTCCCACGTTAGCCCACCTTCCCGGAGATGTGCTGCCACTCCACAGCAGAAAACCACCCCTTGCAGATCTACCTACAAATGAAAAACCAAGGGCAAACACTTGGCTCCCAGCCACCAACGTGGCGACTCTGTGGAAATACTTTTAAAGTCCCAGTTCTGTGTAGAGATAATAAAGCAAATGCTACTGTACAAACTGTACGCAGTGCAACCCCTAACAGAGATGATCACTCAAAAAGTGGGCGAAAGGCACCCAAAACGGCAGCTGTTGAGGTGCTTCATGATCACTAGAGTATGCATGCTCCCAACTGCTTTTTAACACCTTGGAGCTAATTGCAGAAAGGCAGGAGAGGGTGGCTTATTCCACAGGGAGAAATAATCTAATTCTTATGAGAAAAATGAGGTTAAAAAAAAAAAAGTACGTGAAAAATGAAGAAATATTCACTTGGAAATGTCATGAAAGACCTGAAGCTCCCAAAACAAGGAGAGTTATAGCAACCGTGAGTCAATCTACCCAGAGGAGTCACTATTTCTAACTCTGCTAAACTTAAAGCACAAGCAGTTTGGTTTGTATTTGAGCTTGAAAGTCAAAACAAGTCTTTTTAGTCCAAAACATATCCATCTGATGAATTTAAAGAGTATTTCAGAAAAAGACGTGCATATTTTTAGCATATTTAAATGACAGCTCCAATACTAGTGTGGATTGGATTAGGGAAAACAATACACACCTAGGTTAATGCTTGTCTATTTTCCCTTAGCATTCAGCCAGCTGGTATCTAGCAAATGTGCAAACACACTATTGGGAGGAGAAAAGAGGACTCTTTGACCCAGAGAATTCAGTGCTCTCAGATAAGCAATCAACCAGGAACTTGTCTTTGGGTTTAATGCTTAATTTGCAGTGATTCTTTTTTTAATGTATCCAGATTCCACAGGGATAAAATATGCTTGTCCATAAATATGCATGCAAACAGGTACTATTCTGTAGCTGCACCAACTTTGCATAAACATACATATTTATAGATCCATTATTAATATTTTATATCTCAGTAATGACCATATGCACCAAATCAGAATGAAAGCCACCCTGCGTCAAGTGCATGGCACAAACATCGCTTCCCCCGTATTTTGCAGGTGTAACTTTGGCATTTACATTTGAAAATGGGATTTGTTTATCATTATTGTTATTATTATTGGCTACCTGAGAGCTGCTGGTAGTCCTGGGTGTTGGAGACAACTCTTAAACACCAGCTCTGGCTACATGTGAGAAACCAGCCACGTGCAGAAATCCTCACCTTGCCTTGCCCTTTCATCAGGACGATGTTGGAAATGATGGAGGGCTGGGTCAGTCTCCATGGAGATTCCACTTGTGCGGCACTGAAGGAACGGGTGGATTTCTTCACGATATGGTAGTCCTAACAAACATCAGCAAACAAGGTACGTCACTCTGATTGCTTGGCACAGGCACTGGGTTGTCATACTGGGAAAATTGCATGTGTTGGGGAAGAGGGAGGGGGGGATCTTACAGATATATTCAGAAAAATGTTCAAGGGATGAAATCCTAGCTCATTACAGTCAAAGTGAATCTTGCCACAGTAATTTTCCCGCATTTCGCACACTAAGAACATTTTGTAATGTACCAGTCATAATTTAAATTAAAAAGATTAAGGGTAGCCTCATGATATACTAAAGTCCTTATCTGCTAAAAAAAAAAAAAAAAAAGGAAGAAGGAAAAAAGCCTACATCATCAAGTCATTAAAATAAAGAGAAGCAGGATTTTTTTTGTTTAAGTCCTCAGATCTCTAGAGCTGCAACTCATAAGATCAGCCTTAGGACCTCCTGGCCATAGCAAGAAGTACCCCCCTTCACCATCCTCAGAGTAAAGAAGTTCTTCATAGGTGGCCAACGCATCCCATTTTGGTGTCCAGCCCTGGTTTCAGTCCCCATGATGTACCTACGTGGCCTTGTTTCACTACCCTCGCTTCTACGAGCTCCAGACAAATCTCGAAGGACCGAGCACAGCGAGGTGCTCAGAGCCAGCCCTGCCTGTCCACCCACCTGCCTGGCTCCTGCCGATTCCAGCTGCTGAGGCAGCGAGTGCTTTCTTCCACCCCGGGAATATTTCACTGCTATTTCGTAACTCGATTCACCGTTTTCCACTGTCAGCTCATCGTCTTCTCCCACGGACTCCAAACGGGATCCGGCACCTAAGGAAAACCACAGAAATACATCTTGCAAACGTCTCAGAGCTGCTTTATCCTCTTGCCAGCATGCAATAATCGCCTCCTGCAAATCCCAACTTAAACAATGCCTTAAAACAACGCTACACGGTTCCCAGCTGGGCTGTTAGAAGCTAGTTTTGATCATCCTCAACTAAAAACTTTTCCTGCTGTCACAGGTTTTCTACGATCTTTCAGTGATGCTGAACTCCTCAGCACTGTCATTCGTGGTAGTAAGGAAAAGCAGAAGATAATTGAGCTGGTAGCTCAGGGACAGAAAATTCAGCTGTTCTCACCCAATGGCACTTGCCAGTGCTCTCAAGCTTCATTTATTTAAAATTAAAAGACCTGACACTGTAGCAGTATTCATTTCTGGAGGTGTCATGTCACTTAGAGGGAAATTTTTCTGGAGAGGAAAAAGGAAAAATGTGCCAAATAAATGCTACTTTCTTTCCTTCTGGCAACGATCCTAGTTGTCTTAAGGAGGAGAAGAGTGCAGAGTTCACATTAGAAACAGAATTATTTGTCTTGAAGGACATCCTGTAATTAGGTGCAGAGTACCCCGCTCCTTGCACCAGGGCTCCTCCAATTCTCATTTTCTCCAAGGTCCCCACAGGACCCACAGTCACAGCAGTTCCCGTACATTCATCCTTGCCATTTCCCCCACCATGCAGGGAAAGGCCATTAACCCCTATTTTACAGATGAAAACCCAAGACACAGACAGGCCAAATTCACACAAGCTGGATTTCATGATGTGGTTTTAAGATTACTTTAAACCAAGGTTAAGCTGCCCCTTTCTGTGGCAGCTCTGCTTTCCCTTCGCCTTCACTGCCCTGTCCTTACCCTGGGGACAGCACTCACAAGCCATGGGCTGAGGTAGACCTCCTGCAAATTTGCCCAGGAGAGCCCCAGACCTGTTTTCTGCCACCTCCTCCTCGCCTGGAGGCTGTGCAAGCATTGCTGCCAGCACCAGGGAGGGATGGAGCACGGAGCTGGGGCAGCCGCTTGTTTTCACTCAGCTTTAAAGCAATTCTGCTGCTGCATCCATAGGCAAAATTTGTACTTGCTCACCAGAGTGCCGTTTAAACCCGATCCCTTCTTTGAGGTGTGAAACTACCTCTGGTTTTAAAGCTCCCCTTCCCCAGGCACGCAGGGCACCGCTGCTGCACACAGCCAGGACAGCTGTCTTGGCAGGACTGGCATCCTGGCACTTCCTTCACTCCCAAACCCTCCTGGCACCTACAACTAACCCTTTCCCATCACCTCTCCCTCTCTTCTTCGTTTTGTTTTAAGATTACTTTAAACTTAAGCTGCCCCTTTCTGTGGCAGCGCTGCGCTCCCTTCGCCCTTCCTGCC